CATCTCAACCACCAGCTATTAATTCAAACATATGATCATTATTTTAAGGCTAACAGAAACTAAGACCACAAAACAGGATCAACTTTACAGTCATAAAAAAGGACCCCCACAAAAGTATTAGAATCCACCCCACTCCCGCGCCTTTCTGCTTTTTGAGACAGGGTTTCTCTGTGTAGTCCTGGTTGTCCTGGAACTTACTCTGTAGACCATAGTGGCCTCAGGCTCAGGGATTCAGCTGCCCCCTCCCACTAAAGGCATGCAGCACCATACCCAGCATTTTTGTTTTTGAAACAGGGTCTCTCTAAATAACCTCAAACTCTGATCCACCTGCCTCTGCCTCCCCAGGACTGGGATTACAGAAATGAGCTACTGTGTCCAGCTTCTATCAATCCCTCTAACATTACAGTGAAACAATAACAAAAACTACAACAGTCATTAAATCTAAAAAGGGCCTGTTATCAGAGATCTACCTTTACAGTAATGAAAAAACTAGAAACCCCAGGGAGGCCAAGGTAAAGGATGGAGTACATCCATGGTTGGAACATATGCATATTCCCACGACTATAATGTGGAATGTGTGGATGCCCTGGGTTCCAACTCCAACAGCAAGCACACACAACCGAAGCAAGGTTAACATAATCCTAAAAATTGGCAAGGATGAGAAAGCACTTAATAGGCCTGGGGGGGGGGGGTTATTCTAGGCTCACTATTGTCATTTCCAAAAACTTGAAATTATTTCAACCTAAAAACGCCACAAATTTTCTTCTCTCTAAATAAGTTCAACTATCATTTTCTTTCTCATATGTAATTTATACTATATCAAAAGGAATTAGTTTGGTGAGGTGGCATATGTCTCTAACGTCAGCATTCAGGAAGCAGAGGGATGTGGGTTTGAATTTTAGGCCAGCATGGTCTACACAGTGAGTTCCAGTACAGCCAGGACTATGAAAGACCCTGTCTCAAAAACATCAAAAAGGGATAAAATTCAGTCTACACAGGTAACAAGTGATGAAAATAAATGCTTAAATTTTCAAAGCACCACTGAATTAAAGTTCCACAAGTTTGGGGGCATTTTTTTTAAGGCAGAGCAATTTTTTTGTTTTGTTTTTTTTTTCCTTTTTTTTGTTTTTTTTTTTTTGAGACAGAGGTTTCTCTGTAGCTTTAGAGCCTGTCCTGGAACTAGCTCCCATAGAACAGGCTGGCCTTGAATGCACAGAGCTCCACCTGCCTCCCAGGGTTTGTGTAACAGCTCTGGCTGTCCTGGAACTTGCTTTGCAGACCAGGCTGGTCCTGAACTCTGTCTGCCTCTGTAGTTTGAGGTTGGCCTCAAATTCAGATCCACCTGCCTCTGCCTCCCAACTGTTGGGATTAAAGGCCTGTGCCACTATTGTCCAGCAAGCAAATATTTTCAAATAATAATTCTACCTAATTATTTCCCCTTTACAAGAATAGATATCTTCTTTGGTGTTCAAAGACAGCACTGCCATCAAGAGAGAACAAATGGGTCCTTCCTTTTCTAATCAGAAAGTAGTCAATCTCTAATCTAAAAGCAACAGTTGACATCTTTATGGAGGGGATCTTCCCCACTCCATGCAATCCAAAGCATGCTTCACAATATCCTGGTCAAGAATACTTTCCTGAATCCATCTCTTAAAAGCTGATTGTCTTTCTACCTTTTTGCACCTTACATGACTATTTCTCTCCTCTAGACCCTTAATTTCAGAGCCTGCTTATCAATGTTATCAGTAAGCTGTCCAAAAGATACCTACAACAAAAAAAGAAATGTTCAACAAAATCCTATTGTTTTTTGAGACAGGATCTAACTACTTAGCTGGCACACCAAGCTAGTTTCAAACTTGCTACAGACCCTATATCGCTCTCTCTACAATTTAAATGCTGAGAATTACAGGTGTGTTCCACCTTTTTTGTTTTGATTTTTTTCCGAGACAGGGTCTCAATATGTAGCTCTGGCTGTCCTGGAACTCACTACATATCTGATCTCATACCTGATCACGAACTCTGCCTGCCTCTGCTCCCCAAATTTTAGGACTAAACTATGGCTATTTGTCACATTCTTTATATGAAATAAAAAATTGTAAAACACTTCCTTCCATGTAGTGTTTGTAAAATATACCAACAAAGCATGTAAATCCAAATATTGCAACCTTCATTTTGTTGAGGTTTCTATGTAAAAAATGATTTTGAGTTACTGGCATTAAGCTCAATGTTTACAAAAGACTTACACAAGAGCAGTTATGTAAAATTGGCAAAGCTGATACAGAACAGCTAACCACCTCAGATCAGCATAAAACCGAAGGATTTGGTGGGCTAAGAGAAGCAACCCCCAACTCATGTTTATCTACCTAACAGCACACAAGCCTCCTACAGTCTCAAACATTACACTGAAACAATGGCCAGATAATTTAACAATCAAAAAACCATGCCCAACTATACAGTGAAAGAAGCAGGTAAAAAGTAGGATGGGTGGGGAGGGCTCAAGAATGCTGGCAACGTTATTACTTCTTGTTCTGACAGTAGTTATTTTGGTACTGTAATTCTGCTTTATTGAACATACTCTGTAGGCACTATTCCACAAGATATAGATGAGGGGGAAAAACCATTATTCCCTAAGGCAGCGGTTTACAACTCAGGGTAGTCATTAGCCAAGCTGTAGAGATTTGGAGGTTTAAGCTACATAATGTATTAAAGTCAGCAAGGGAGATTTCCTGGTACCCAAAAGCTTTAAGGACCGAAGAACTCAAGAAAACTCCCCCCCCACCAGACAAGGTTTTTCTGTGTAGCCCTGGCTATCCTGGAACTCACTCTGTAAGACCAGGTTGGCCTTGATCTGCTGCCTCTGCTGGAACTAAAGGTGTGTGCCACCACTGCCAGGCAACAAGAAAACTTTAGCTAAACTCTATTTTTCAGAAAGGATGCTAAGTCCTAAATAAGTTCCTTCCGCAAGGGTAGGGCTATGGGTATAGCAGATCATTTTTTTTAAACCTTGATTTATTTAACTTTATTTCACGCACACTGGTATAACGATGTCAGAGTCTCTGGAACTGGAGTTACAGACAGCTGTGAGCTGCCATGTGGGTGATGGGAATTGAACCTGAGTCCTCTGGAGGAGCAGTCAGTGCTCTTAACCACCAAGCCATCTCACTGAGCCCCAGAGCAGACTCGAATATGGTTCGTGATGGTCTTCAGTAAAACGGATTTAAAACACAGATGACTAAAAAGTGTCAATGATCTACCAAGCAAAAATCTGCAATTGCCTTCTTGGTCTTTAGCGGGTTAAGAGAAGCGTAGAAGGCTCACTGCCGAAATCGTTTCCCACCAGAAGTACTGGGCTGTAGTTTCTCAGTCTTTCTCTTGGTAGCTTGGTATCAAAAGTCAGCATTTACCTGTTTACTGACTACATCGTTAGCATCGCCAATATGTGATGCTGGAACTTTTCCCAAGCACAAAGGAAGGACCCAGAGCTTCTCCTGTCTTCCCCTTCGATTTCTCCTGTCTCCAGGGCCACATATCAGACCCCTAATTCCTCCAGACGAAAAAAAAAAATCGCTACTGTGCCAGTTAACTGTGCACCAAACTGCTGGTGAAGCCTAGGCTACACTCATTCGCTCATTAAGGAGCACAACACTCATCGCATCCCCGAGCTCCTAGCAGTCGACTTTCAAAGTCCGTCTTCTTTCCCTGGCCTCGACAGGACCACAAAATAAACCTGCTGGTTTAACGAGCAGGTCTACAAAAACGTTCTGGGTGAGGCTTTGTTTCTCCTGGATCAAAAACGCTAAATCTTTCTGGTTAAGATTCTGCTCCCCGGATCCAGACGGGCCTAGTTACACAACCGATGCCCGCGCCAAACGCTTGCTGAGCAAGGGACCCCGGGAAGTCACTGCTTTTTGGGTTAGGGAAGGTAGTGGAGTTAACACACGATCAAATCGATGCCTCCGAAAGGATCTGTGGGACCCACTAGGTCTAAAGGCCGAGCAGGCTTTAGACCTCGGGGCTTGAGGCTGCGAGCCCTCTCGGGTGCACCTCGGCAGCGCCGAGCCAGGCCTGGAGGATAATGGGGCTCCCACTCATAAGCCGGCGCCCCTCAGCTCAGACACTCGCGACGCCTTTTTGTTTGTTTGTTTTGAATCTGAGTTTCTATACAAGAAACGCCCTCAGGCTGGCAGCGGGAGGAGGTTACCGGGGCCACCGACCGCGGCTTCTCGAGCCGCTACCCGACACCCCACCTCACGCGCCTTCGGGGTGATGGGCCCGAGGCCCAACCGCGGTCCCCTCTGGGCCTCGGAGGCCGTAGGCCCCGCCCACGTGGCGGGAGGCCCGGGTCAGCCGCACCGACAACCGCCACACAAAGGAGACCAAGGCCGGCCCCGCACGCCCCAGCTACCGCGAGGCCCTCGCGCGCAACGCGGGCGCCGGAAGGTTCCAGAACCAGCCCGCCTGGTGGGGGAGGGGCGGGGGGAAGGGAACGCGGACCCCCGAGCTCGTTGGGTGGCGGCGGGAACTCCAACCCCTCTCGGCAGCTCCACTCAGTCATCCCTACCACCCCCAGAGACAAGCGCCCCCGAGTTTGGGTGTCCCAGCCGTCGCCAGCGCGACCGCGATCCCACTCCACTTACCCGTGGACGCCATTTTCTCGCCTTCCTCCTCGTTCTCTCAACGTCCGTCTCCCTCTCGCGGTCCCCCTAGGCGCCGCACTGCGCAGGCGCGAAATCCGCAACCTCGGAAGCTACCATAGGGCCAGGCCGCGGGGGTGGGCAAGGAGGTTTGAGCCAGTGATAAGCCGGTCCTTGGCGCCTGAAACCGTCGACCCAATCCTCTCTAACGAGTCGGACGTGACGCGCGGGTTAAGAAAAGCACCTCGGCGGCCAGCGCGCTCGTGAGCGAGTGTCCCCACCAAACCCCGGGGAGCCTCCGCACGAGGCTCGGGGGTTGGAATGGTTACGCCCGCTGGCTCTAGGGACCGTCTCCGAAGAGTCCGTCCTGGAGGGAGACGGAGGCTGGCGGGAGGGCTGGGGGAAGGGATCCTGGCCTGGAACAACTGCTGACTAATCGGCAGGCGGGATCACGCGCCCGTGTGTGCGCGCTGTGGGTTTCGGGCACCTAAGTCTCGACCGGGAGCTGGCGGCCCGACTCCCAAGCGGGACTCCCCCCACCCGGCCTTCCAGGGTAGGGGAGAACGTGCTTCGTAGAACCTTGGACGCGTGGCCCGAGAGGGCGGGGGAGGGGACTGAGGTCGGTCGGTCAGTCGGTCGGCTGGGGAGGGAGGCCGGGAATGCCGCGGCAGGCTCCAATAACGGCCGGAGTTGAGTAGCCCTATAATCATCCTCCAACCAGTACCCTTGTTTTAACAGAATAGAAAACCCAGGCCCACGAATCGAGTACTTTCCCCTAAGTTACAAAGCTGAATTCGACTCCGGGACTCCCCCCATCTGTGCACCACCCGGAACCATCTTCCTTGCCCTTGACTTCCCAGTCTGTCCTCCTGGCTTCCCAGTAAGGTAGGCAGGATGTGATGGTGCAGAACTGTGAGAGGACCCTGACAGGGCTCCAGGGGGCCACTGAGGCGGATTGTTAGCGAGTGAGGAGCTGTCTTGTTCCTAACACCGTGGACAGATTCAAACATTAGCATGGCGGGCGAGGACTCTGAAGAAAGCAGGGCCCATGTGGGTGCAGTAGGCGTGTCACACCTTTCGAAGGATGGGAGTGGTTTCCCCGCTGAAGCTTCACACCAGTCTCTCTGATTCCCTGGCGAGAAGCAGGGAAGGGAGTGGGGAGCAGGATGTCGTGACCCCCGGTTTCTTATTTGATGTAAACTCACTTCCTCAGGTGAGAGATCCAGGCACTTGTTAGCTAGGGACTCCGCGTCTGAATAGGGTGCTCGTGGGTCTCTGAACGTGAAGAGCTGCTCCATGTGTTGTGTGCTAGGAGCAGCAGCTGGGTTCATTACTTGATTCTTACGAGTTCCATTTTATTAATTGAAGATACGGTTGGAGATAGAGGCGCAATGATACTGCTTGCCTAGGATGTGTGAGGCCCCGGTTTCCGTTTGCAACACCAAGAAAGAGAAGAGACTGATCCAGAGGACTCGAGGCCCGGTCCCGAATGTCCATGGATCAGTCCCTTAGTGCTCAGGGATGGAATGGTTGTGAGAAGCTTCAATTTAGGAGACCCTGCCTCCAGGTAAGGGTGAAATCGGCCTGCTTTTCTAAACCCAGTGCCACAGAGGAAGGGCAGGGTTCACCCCAAATCCGGAGTTCACCCCAGCAGGATCTGGGGCCAGCTAATATGTCTTTCAGTGAACACATAACTGGAGATGAGAGGGAATGTTATGTACAGATCGCGAGGTTCCCCCAAAACCACCATAAAGTCTGCACTCGTATGCAAAAGTGCAAAGAGCCTTTAGCCAGTCTGTGGTGGCGCAAGCCTTTAATCCCAGCGCTTGGGAGGCAGAGGCAGGTGGATCTCTGTGAGTTTGAGGCCAGCCTGGTCTACAAGAGCTAGTTCCAAAATAGTTTCAAAGCTACAAAGAAATCACATCTCGAAAAGCCAAAAGAAAAAAAAGAGCCTTTAATCAAGTCCAGGTTGGACCATCCCATCTATTTGACATAGTGGTGAAGTGGAGAGCCACGAACCCAGTTGGAGTAGGTTTTTGTGGGGGTTTTTTTTGTGTGTGTGTGTGTGTGTGTATGTGTGTGTGTGTGTGTGTGTGTGTGTGTGTGTGTGTGTGTGCTGGGATTAAAGGCTTGCGCCACCACTGCCCGGCTGGGGTGGGTTTTTTTTTTTTCTCATAACAGAGGTTGGAGTGAGGGGGTTTCTAAGGTTCAGGACCCCTGATTGACTATCGTGGGGGGGGGGGGATGGGTGTATGCTGGCCGAAAGGACATCAGGTGATCCTGTCTATAATAGTTGGAATGTTAGGTATTTCCCCTTGGATGGTCTGTTCCCGGGTGGTCCCTATTGAGCCTGTAGGGCAGGGGAGCCTCTTTTCCTCCATTAGTTCAACCACTTGGGAGAAAATTCAAACTTTGTTCATTAGGATAAGATTCACGATGTGGGAAGGCACCATTTGAGCTGGGCTTCAGAGTGAGTAGGAGGCTGTTTGTTGAGGGGCTGGAGGTAAGGACCCTGAAGGCAGAGATTTTCACGTTTCTGTCCTGTAGGAAACGGGCCTTGGCAAGGAAGCTAACTAGGATCCGCTTTCTGCCCTGAGTCATCCCAGGAGACTTGAGAGCATTGCTAGGGAGTGCTAGCAGGGCCCGCAGGCAAGGCTGGCTGCGAGGAAAGTGATGACTACTCCCAGAGTGCAGGACCCTGAGCTGGGCCATGTGGGGACAGGGGGAGGAGAAGAAAGAGGGAGAGATGAGAACCTGGTGCAGCAACGAGAAGCCCACCATACATAGAGCAGGTAATCAAAGTGGGAATAGCAGTTTAGTCCCCTGGGCTGCAGAAGTTTAGGGTGGGGGTGGGGGTATGCCAGCCAGGAGGGCCCTGTAACTGGTAGGGACCAAGGGACTGCAGGGAGAACCTGCCTGCCAGCATCTGCATTGATATGTTAAATAGGAACCTCAGCCATTTGTCCTGGTTTGAAACTTAACTGGAGAAAAGCTTTGCTGTTTGGGCAGGGAATGACCTGTTTGGGGACCAGAGCTTGAACCAGCTGGGCCTTCACTTGTAAGCTATCTGTCCCTTCCATAAGTAATTAGGTGGTGCCTTGGGTTTATTGGGAAAGAGCTGGAGGCCAAACTAGGTGCAATGGTGCAGACTGTTGATCCAGTACTCAAAAGCCCAGGCAGACACAGGAGAATCTCACATCGCAGGCTAGCTTGGGCTCCATGTTGAGACTTTAAAAACAAAACTTTTTTTAAAATTATTATGTATATAGTATTTTGGGATGTATGCCTACGTGCCAGAACAGGGCACCAAATCTCATTATAGATGGTGGTGAGCTACCATGTGGTTGCTGAGAATTGAACTCTGGACCTCTGGAAGAGTAGCCAGTGATCTTAACCTCTGAGCCATCTCCCCAGCCCCCAAACAAGCAAAATTTTAAAAAAGAAAAAGCTGAGCCAGGTGTTGCCTTTAATCCCAGCACTTAGGAGGTAGAGGCAGAGGCAGGCAGATTTCTGTGAGATCGGGCCATCCTGGTCTACAAGAGCTAGTTCCAGGACAGGCACCAAAGGTACAAAGAAACCCTGTCTCAGAAAAAAAGAAAGAAAGAAAGAAAAACTGTGGGCCTCCAGTCTTTTCTCTTATGATGCTGTAAGCAAAATGTTGGTTTTTTTGTTTTAGTTTTTTTTGGGGGGGGCTGGCCTCTAATTCACAGAGATCTGCCTGTCTCTGCCTCCTGAGTGTTGGGATCAAAGGCATGTGCACCACTACTACCCGGCAGAAAAAAGTGTCTTAATCACCCTTTCACAGACTGGGAAACTTGCCCAAAGACAAACAGCAGAAGGCTGGAGCAGATACCAGGGCTGGGGAGGAAACAGTGCCACAGTTATGAACCACTTTGTAAGGCTTGGAATGTGGGTCTCCTGTAGCTTCAACCCCAAGCTGCTTGTCCCATTGGTGGGCCTCATGAGGCCCCTTGTTCAAGGGCACCCCAGGCTATCTGGACTCCCTGAGGCCTGGAACACTAGAAGGGGGGGCGGAGTCTAGAACTGGCCTTGGCTTTGCCGTTCCCAGGGAGAATGTACCCGTCTTATTGGCAGTGAAGGGCCACAGCTCAACTTTTCTGGCCCTGTCTCTTCCACTAAGACACCTTCAGGGCCCACCAGACTCTTGTAGAAACTGGGTCTCATGTCACCCAGGCTGGTTTTTCAACTCTGTTTGCAGCCAAGATCTAAATGTTTCTTTTATTTTTACAGCACTGGGGAGCAAATCTAGGTGCCCATGTATGCTAGGTAAGCCTCTCCTGCTGGTCTGCATCTCTAATGGTCTTGGTCTCCTGAACCTCCTGCCTCCACCTCCTGAATGCTAAGATTACAGGTGTGCACTACCACACTGACCTCATCAGGACTTTAAGCATGGCCCATGGCCATCCCAGACCCGTGGGCAGGTAGGATAGAAACGTGGCTAGTAAGCACACAGGTTGGGGCTTGATAAGCACACAGGCCAAGCTATTGGACCTGCCTCTGCTGGTTCAGTTTCTGCCTCTGTATAATGGGACCATTGGTAAAGTAGTTGGGAGGGAGTCAGATAAAAGCAGCAAGGATGATTTGTTACTGTTTTTGTTTATTCCCAGCTTACAGCCTCAGGACCACCTCTGACTACCATCAACCAAACTATGCATGTCTGGGACTCTCCCGGCTCACTGTCCCGGGCACTGCCCCTTGCCTCCTCAGTCCTGATGCTCCTGATGAGCTGCCTTTGGTTGTTGGGGGCTGGCCCCAGCCTCACATTGGCTCCAGAGCTGCTGCTGGACCCATGGCAGGGTGAGGACCAGCTGCATAGCCCTTGAAGAAAGCTAGAGACCTACTCTAGGGCCTGAGACCACCTAGTGGAATTAGTGTGCAGCTCGTGAAGGTCACAAGAATAGGACACAGTGTGGCAGGGCAGGTTAGCCTACAGACATGCCCAGTTCGTCCACAGTCGAGAAGGAGGACAGAGAATCCTGTCCAGAGGGTGAGGTGGGAAGCTGTGCGTGGGAGTTCTGATAGTGTCCCTTTCTGACAGCCTTCCCTGGAAATAAGAAGTTAAATTTCTGCCAAACATGTACTTCGCACAAAGCCTCTGGTTTACATTTGAGGAACCCAAATGATGTTAAGAGAGGTTAAGCGATTTTTCTAAGGCCTTGCAGCTCTGTGGGAGTGAGAGGTTTTGGCAGGCAGTTTTCATTAGAACTTGTGCTATTAACCAGATGCAAGAAAAGATTCGGTAACTGACAGACAGCTTCACTGTACCTGGGCCATGGCACCACTTGGTGGCTAGTGGTGAGTGGGAAGACTGTGTTGGTTCCCTTCAATATACCCACAGAGTAGCTGTGGTGTTGAGAAGCCTCTGGTCCCATCTACTGGCCTACCAGGTGGCCCTTGCAAAGGCTAGTCCAGCCCCCTAACCTGACACCCTTCTCATTCCCAGTGCACCGGCTTCTGACCCATGCTCTGGGCCACACTGCACTGCCGGGCCTGCTCCTGAGCCTGCTGCTCCTTCCCACTCTGGGCTGGTGGCAGGAGTGCCGTCTAGGCACTCTGCGCTTCCTGCACAACTCCGCCCTGCTTGCCTTGGCTGCTGGGCTGCTGGCTGTGCTGCTGGCAAGCCTTGGAGTATCCAATGCAGCTGGAGGCTGTGGATATATGCCTGTCCATCTGGCCATGCTGGCAGGGCAGAGTTACTACCCTGGATGGCGTCAGGGGACACTGCCACCATGGCTGCTCCCATGGCTACTGCTGGCCCTGACCCTGCTGCTCAGCTCTGAGCCGCCCTTCCTGCAGCTCCTCTGTGGCCTTCTTGCTGGCCTAGCCTGTATCCTTTGCCTGAGCCCAGGGACCATGTGGACTTGTGGCTGGGCCTCCGGGGTGCCTTAGAAAGGAGTTAAATGTTAGGTGAACAAACACCTGCTCCTGGCACATCTTCTGTGCCATGCTCTGGGCTGGGGACAGGGCTCATGGCCAAGAAGAGGTGTCAGTTATCAAAGGACCCCATGGGATGGATGCTTGGGAGAGCTGAAGGGACCTGAAAGTCACTAACCTGGATCCTGTGTGAAGGTGGGATCAAAGCAAAGATTAGCAAAGAGGAAGGTTTGGGGTAGGAGTGAGTGTGGGGCTCCCTGGAAACAGAGGGCCAACTTAGGGCCCATAGTGCAGGTATCTTAAGCATAAGCTTTGCTCCTAAAATATGGGAAAATAGCTACCATTTTTGGTGGTGATCATATAACCCTTCAGGCAGTCACAGGGAACCATTTCAGGATCCAGACACCAGCTACTTAAGTCTGGCTGATAGTAGGAGGACCTATCTCAGGTACACGGGGTTATGCAGTAGCCAAGAAAGTGGAAAATAGGGTTTGGGGAAGGCACATACAGTTCCCTGGCTGAGTAGTTTCAGGTAGGCAGTTTCCTTTTGTTCTCAGCTTCAGCTGCTCATGTGGTCCTGGGGGGATGCAGCAAGGGGAGACGCATGGGAATGCCTAGCACACTCTCCTCCCCCCAGTTCAGTTTGATTTTCCTTGACCTGCCGCCCTGCCCTGGGCAGGCAGATGCTGCTGGGGCCTTCCGGTGGCTGGAGCTCTCTGAGCGGAGACTGCAGGTGTTACAGGATGGTGTCCTTTGTAGGACTCTGGCCCAGTGCTGGCCACTGAGGCTCCTTCCCACCCCAGGCAGTCTGACTGAACTGCCTGTCACTTATCCTGCTGCAGTGAGGTGAGGGTAATGCCAGGGGCTCGGTATTGGGTGGTGGAAGTTGTGACAGTAGCTGGCAGCCCAGGCCGTCCACCTCTGTCCCTACAGGCCTGCTACCCCTGGACCTCCCTACCTTGCTCCCCCAAGCTCCTGGTCTCACAGTGATGGTTCTGCCCAGCTTCCACCAGGCATGGGGCCTGTGCAGCTGACATGGAAGGACTCAGAGAGGAACTTGGACTGGGCTGCATCTAGCTTTGCTCCAGGAACCCCGATGTGGGCAGCCCTAGATGAGCAAATGCTACAGGAAGGGATCCAGGCTTCACTTCTTGATGCATCAGTTCAGGGTTCCCAGAGCTTGACGTGGTTGCCCAAATCCTCTGGGTCTTCTCTACGGTGAGACAGGGTGGGCAGGGGTGTGTCTTCCCAATGTGGGAGACATGCATGCCCTGACATTTCCTCCTTGTCCCCACCTCACAGGCTGCAGCAGCTAGAGCACATGGGATTCCCCACTGAGCAGGCTGCAGTAGCCTTGGCAGCTACAGGGCGTGTGGAGGGCGCAGTGTCACTGCTGGTTGAAGGGCTGGTAGAAACCGAGGCCGTAGTGACTGAGGGGAGGAGTGGTCCTGCCCACTGCAAGGACACTGGACCCTCATAATCCAGGAAAAGAGCAGGATCTTCGGCCTGACCTGAGTCCTTGCCCAGTCTGTTGAGGACATCCCTGAGGGCAGGAGTGGGCCCCGGCATGTTCTAATGCTTCCTAAGAATAAAAGCTGATGTTTTCAACCTGGCCTCCTGAGTGGCAGTTGTGTCTGGCTCTTCTGTATTGGCATGGGAAGGATGAAGGAATGAGTGGAGAAGGAGTGAATGGGTGGCTGATGGCAGGAGGGTGACTTGTGGTGTCTAAGCCCACAGGCCTCCTGCCCCAGTATCCTCAGCCTAGGTGGACCCTCTGGCTGCAGCACATAGAGACCAAACTGGGTAGGGTCAGGCAGGGGCGTTTATTGTCCAGTACATAGCAATCCATGGCATCTGCAGCAGATACTTGGAGTGGGAGTCCTTTCTATACATCCTATCCCCACATGGAACACTGGGGAGTGGGGTTGGGTAGAACTGACTTAAGGAGCACCAACCATTCAGTCGAGGATTAAGCAGCCTGGACTCAGGTGGGAACTCAGCACCAGAAAACAGGGCTCCCCAAGGTCTTAAGGAGGGGAATTGAGACTTCTGCCTCGATCCATGCATATCTATAGGGCCAGGCAGAGTCCCAGGTCTCTACTCTAGAAGACTGGAAGCATTGTATCTCCACCCACTCCCCTTTTCACCCCATTTCACAAGGGGAAATAGGCCTGACTTCTTGAGTAGGCTTTCTCTCAGGGCCCAGTCCCTGCTTTGTCATGTACAGGCTGACATCACTGAGACCTGCCTGCCTATCCCTAAGGCCAAGATGGCACAGGGGTCCCTGAGGTTATTAATAAATAGGAACTGGCAGTCTCTGGAGACAGCTGGCCAAGTCCAGGCTAGGGGAGGAAGCCTGGTGTGGAACCCTGAAGAGCCACCACCATCCTCAGCTCCTCTTGTCGTGTCTCCTGGGGGTCACGATCTGGTAGTTGGTTGGGTGTCCTCCCCTCTTGCCCCGAAGGAGGCTGGGGGTACCTGTGCCATCAGGGCCTACCCCGGATCCCAGCTCTGGTTCTGCTGAGGGAATAAGAAGAAAAGCTATGTTAGGGGGGCATTCACATTCATGAAGAGTGGGGGAACCCACTCTGTGTCCTGGGAGGTAGCAGGGTACCCTGGCATCCTAGAGATGGAGCTGTGGGAAGTAAGGGTACTGAAGACTGGTTAGTACTTCCCCACAACCTCTGAGTCCCCAGCCATCTGATGCCTGATTTGTCTAATGGGGATGGCCGGGCTCACCACATTTACATGTTTGGTATATGAATAATGCTCCCTAAGTAATCAATTTGGATTGATTTGGAGTGAAGGTAAATTCTGCATCATCCAAACTTCATTGCAAGGAAACTGAACTAGAGATGAAACTTCCTCTTTCCTTGGATTATAGCGCCATTTGGAGGAAGGGTTTTGCCCTGGAGCAGCCTCAGGGAAACTGGACCCCGTCAGGGCCCCAGCTGTCTGATTTCTAAAACCAGGGACATTTTCAGATAGACTCTGAGGCCCTAGATGGCACCAACAAAGCCTGAAGTCAGTTACCAAGGGAGTTGTGGTGAGATATGCCCTAATCTGTTTATAAGCTGAACCCCACGCATGAAACAGCATGCTTGCGCCCCCCCCCCCCCCCGCGGAAACTAACATCCTTCAAAACCCAAGAAGGTGCTGTCTTGTCCAGGAAGCCCATGTGTATCCTTTGGTAGCCCCTAAAGCTAGGGAGGTCAGGACAGGCCGTTTTTCTGGTGGGGGAGAGCCTCGGAAGGGGACTTGGCCAAGCCAAGGACAGACAGTTGGAAGCTTGATGATGACCACTTCCCACAGAAGGCGCTGCTTAGGGGTGGGCCACTAATGGGGCCTGGCTTTTCCCAGGCGCCTTGTACATCCTCCAGGGGCTATCAGGAGCTTAGCCAGCTAAGGACGGGGTACCGTGTCGCCATTCAGCTCTTCTACACTATCTAGCTGTCCCTTCCACTGCTGCGCCATGCTGAGAGGAGGGGCACCTGGAAATGTGCAGAGAGTCTGGAACTTGGGTCTTTGCTCCCAATGGTTCCTCAGGTCATTTGGAGGCAATGAGGGATGGAGGACAGGTGCCAAGAGACTTCAGGGGAGGGGCTTGATAAGTCTCCATCAAGTCTCATCAAGTCTCGCCTCCTAAGGTAAGGACAAGGCTGTTGAGGCCAAAGGAGGTCCGGCAGATAGTCCCTGATGTTTCTAGAGGTCAGAGAAGTCACACAGCTAATGGTGGGGATTAGAAATGAACCGTGTCGAGCAAAACTTTGTTTTGCTCAGTAGCCCAGATCGGCCTCAAATTCGCTATCCTCCTGTCTCAGCCTTCCAGTGCTCGGCTCTTAGGCACATAGCCACCATTCTTGGCCTGGACATACACTCCAGCCTCCAGATCTTGTCTCACATTAGGCTTCTTGTCAGGGTTGTTCCTCCACCTCCACCAGATACAACCATGTATCTTTTATGACCCCACACACAGTCCCCTCTTCCAAGAAGTCACTAATGTCTAGCAAGAAGGGCCCAATCCTTGGGTACTCCATTTGAGTGTCTAAAGTGACTGACGGACAGCTCCCCAGAGCCCAGCTACTTTGCCGGGCCCAGTGCCCATCCAGGCCTAGCATTCAGTAGGTGCTTCCTGGTTTTGCTGAACAAAGGACTGGTTTTAGCCCAGACCCGACCCTCCTCCTTCACACTTAAGGCCTAGAGGGGAGGTTGGACACAATATGGAGGCCTCTGGGCACTGATGTGCATATGGGCTGTGAAACAGGACAGTGACCGGAAGGGGCAAAGGACAGCCAGTGGGTGAGGACTCTCGGTGGGCAAATGAGAGGCGCCATTCCTGTGAAGGGCCAGCCCCATCTTCCCACACCAAAGCTTCACCCCAGGAGCCAGGTGTGTGTGGGGACTACCCCTGCCCCCAGTCAGAAGCCTAACCACCTCTCAGGCTGCCTGAACCAGTCTTCTAGAACCATCCCAGTACAGCTCTGCTCCGTGTTCGTCTTCACCTCTCAGAAACCTTGTGGGGAAAAACTCTGTAGACTTCTTAATCTCTGATTCTCCTCTGCTTGGTCACTCACCTATGATCCTTGCCTTTCTGGGCTCCACTGAGATATCACTTCCAGGAAGCCCTCCTGGACTGTCCTCTCATGGTGACAACTGACTAAGGACTTGTACATGCGAGGTAAGTGGAGCCATGTCCCCAGCAGGCCAGAGGCAAATCTATGCTCACTACTCTGTCACTTACCTCTTCTTGGCTTTTGCTACCGGTGCCAGCCCCCACCCCCACCCTAAACTGCGCTAGGGCACGGCTACATCGTTTGGGTATGTTGGAGCCTGTGCCGATAGGTGGCTGCCAGAACAGGAAAACTAGTTCGCTGTGCCAGGTTCTATTTCCTTGATGAAAGGAAGGAACCAGTGTCTTCTGGCCCAGACCAAACACTGGGAGGCATCTTCTTCATGCCCAAGCCTGCCCCAGGCCCTTCCTGGGAGAGTTTGCCCCTGCCTGCCCACCCTGCCATTACCTGGCCAGATGATGGCTTCCAGCAGGGTGACCCGTCTGGCCAGGAGCTCCAGCTGGGCCTGCTGCTGCAGGAAGCTCTGTAAGCTAGGAGCCTGATGGGAGATTGAGAAGAGCAGACGGTGCCGAGGCTGGCCTCTAAGGGCCGGGCTGGGAGTCCAATGGTGGGGGGCGCAGAGAGAGGCTGATGGGCTTCAGGGCAGAGGTCTGGACCAGTGTCCATCAAACCTCATTGTACCCCTAGGAGGTGAGGAGAGGGCGTGCCTAGCTCCTCAGGTAGCCAGATGAATGGGAACTTGGAGGGTGAATGTCAGGCTACGGATCTGGCTCCCTCGAGCCCTGACAAGGAACTTCAGGACACACTAGGACTACTGTGGCAACTGTGGGAGGGATACAGGGCCAGGAAGGTAGGTCCTGTGAAAATCTCCAGAAGTTTATGGGGAAACTGGTCAGAACTGGCAAGTGGTCTATTACCCAGAGTTCTTTGGGTCCTGAGTCTGACTCTGTCACCCACAGTTCCCTGCATTTTTAGAATCTAGCTGCATTGCTCATGACTGGTCTAGAGTTGAAGCCCAAGTAGTTTACAACCTTGATCTATAATCCTGTGGCCTTGGGCTCTGACTGTGTGACCCATGACCCCAGTATGGCTAGAGTTTGCTTGTTAACCACAATCCCTCACTGATCAGGTTTCCTTTTTTTTCTCTCTTTCCCTTCCTTCTTTCCTTCCTTCCTTCCTTCCTTCCTTCCTTCCTTCCTTCCTTCCTTCCTTCCTTCCTTCCTTCCTTTCTCTCTGAGACAGGGTTTCTCTGTAATGGCCCTGGCTGTCCTGGAACTCACATTGTAGACCAGGCTGGCCTTGAACTCACAGAGATCCTCCTGTCTCTGACTCTCAAGTGCTGGGATCAAAACCATATGCCATCACACTTGGCTTAGGAGTCTGGTTTCATTGCCCATAACCTCTTGCAAATCTCATTCTCGGTTGTCTCCACGCTCCTGAAGTCCTGTAACTGTATCACCCACATTGTCTAGAGAGAGGCACACAGATGAGTCCAGGAACAGGACCTTCCCCTGCAGAGAAGGGAAGGATTGGGTAGCCTATGTAGCCTCTGCTTCTTCAGCTTCAGAACTGGACTCAGGCCAGTTACACCCCAGGACGGTTTGGGGGATGCTGGTAAGCAGGGGTTGGGCTGGCTGGCCGTCTGTCTGTCTCTACTCACCATAGAGCCCAATCATTGTTTCCAAGATTAAAACCCTCTCAGCTAAAATCTTCAAAGCCTCGCGTAGTTGGTGCAACCCCTCCCCCTGTGGAGAAAGAGACAGATGCAGCCGTGATGGAGGGTTGGGAGGGGACCCCGCAAAGCCTGCCAGTGGCCCCTGCCCCACCCGGGACAAGCACCTGTAGCCCTGTACCACCTGCCACAGCCCAGGACCCACGGACAGCCAAACAAGACAGAGAGGGACAGGAGGGAGGCAAGGCAGGAGGAAGCGACCCCTGAAATCCCCCCTCAGAAAGTTCCATTTGATCCTAACTGGCTGCAAATTGCGCCACTCTGGAGGGCAACTCCTCTGCTTGCCCCACAGGCTGCCATCCATTTGTTC